TCTATCTATCTATCTATCTATCTATCTATCTATCTATCTATCTATCTATCTATCTATCTATCTATCTATCTATCCACAAAGTAATTTTCATTACAATACCCGTATGACCACTCTGTTGCCAGGAGTGGTACGACCAGGATGCACATCTGGTTCGTGTGGACGAGAAGCCGTTGCCTGGCAACGAGGTCCTGGTTGACCGTTCAACAAAGACCAATATCATGGACTTTGACGCAGGTAACAACACTTACTATACGGTACCAAAGAATACGGGGATTTAATTAACCCTTTCAGGGCCATAGATGCTGCATTTGCTGATTTTGTTTTGTAGCTTGTTGCTGTTGTTGTTGTTGTTGTTGTCGTTGTTGTTGTTGTCGTTGTCGTTGTTGTTGTCGTTGTTGTTTTTTTTGTGTGTGTGCGTGTGTGTGTGTGTGTGTGTGTGTGTGTGTGTGTATGTGTGTGTTTGTGTGTGTGTGTGTGTGTGTGTATGTTTGTAATACTGACAGAAGTGTCTTTAGGCTATTCCCAAAAAGGGGGTATTAACATGTTCTTATGCACAGTAGAATTGTAAATGGGCTGATTTATCAATGCTGTGCTAATATTGTGCCGGAACAACTTAGGGGAAACTGCTGCTTGATATTTTCTCTTCCTTATTTATTATTTTTTTCCTCTACTTCTTTCGTATGCTTGTCACTCTCTTGTGAACTGCTATTTTTGGGGAGCATTGTTAGTCGAAGCAGACTTTGTTCTGTTGAGGCTAGAGAGGTGAGCAGAATAAGGCCTTATTTCCCGTTTGGACTTCTCTGTTGACATCCACCCCTTTGCGCTCATATGACCTTATGCAGTTGGGAGTTCCGTAAAACCTTACTGTGGGTGGTTGGCGGGTGCTCTGTTGTGGTTTGCTTCTTCTTTCCTATCAAACATCTGTCGTCCCCCTTCTTCTTTTTTATGTTTGTTACTCTATTGTTGACATCCACCCCTTTGCGCTCATATGACCATTATGCAGTTGCGAGCGCCGTAAAACCTTACTAAAACTAAACTTAAGTTTGTCTTCAGTACACGGTCTTTTTGTCCAATGCCCTGATTTGGTGCCAGACATTTGATATTTACGCAGATATTTTAGTAATGCAATGCTGCAGGGAAATAATGAACAAAACAGAATACAGGTAAATTTGATGATGATGATGATGATGATGATGATGATGATGATGATGATGATGATGATGATGATGATGATGATGATGATGATGATGATGATCATGATGATGATGATGATGATCATGATGATCATGATCATGATCATGATCATGATGATCATGATCATGATCATGATGATCATGATCATGATGAATAGTCCTCAACACCCGGTCTCCTCTTGCTATCGAACCTCCCTCCCACCCCCACCCCCACCCCCACCCCCCAGGCCTGTCCTACATCATAGCTCAGGATACCGGCCACTGCGAGGTCACGCCCATTATGTATGACGTATTCAACACCAAGACAGTTGACTCCGCCTCCGTTAGGCTGACCACGCCCTCAGAATTTTTCCACTTCGATTCGGGCAACTTCGTTTATTCGGGACAGGTGAGTTGGCAGTGTCTGTTGTGTCAGTCTGTCTGTTTTTCCTCCCACTGTCTTTGTCTGTATCTTTATAATATATCTGTATGTCTTTAATTAAGGGCACCAGAAATGCTATATTCACCTTAACAATGTTAATGGACGATGTATTGAAGCACAGAAAGATCAGTGTGTATGCTTCATAGATTATTCAAAGGCGTTCGATAAAGTTAGACATGATGAGCTATTTAAAATACTGGAAAAAGCTAGACATAGATGGAAAAGATCTAAGAACTATCAGAAATTTGTACTGGGACCAAAAAGCTGCTGTCCGAATTAATGGAGAATACAGTGAATATAAGCAGATTAGGCGAGGAGTGAGGCAAGACCTCTTTAACATGTACAGTGGAACAATCATTAGAAACATAGAAGAATGTCCAGGCCTCAAAGTAAATGGAGAAAATATTAATAACATCAGGTATGCAGATGACACAGTTTTAATAGCAGGCTCCGAAAAGGATATTCAATTGCTTCTAGATACTGTTGTAACAGAAAGTGAACGTAAAGGATTATTGTTGAATGTAAATAAAACAATCATTTGCAAAGGTGAAAAGATCAAACAAGTCCAACAGTTTAAATATTTAGGATATATGATAACATGTGATGCCAAATGTTCCACAGAAATAAGTTTTATTCGTAGTGAGATATCCCTGATCCTCCAATTCCTGTTCAAAGAAATAAATGCAGTCTGTGCCTTTCCAATACAGGACTTTATTTCAGTGCATGTTCCTCCCTCCCTGTCATTTATACTCCCAAGATAGCAGAAGGATTCGACATTTTCTAGTAAATTTCCCTCTACTGTGACCTGCTCCTTTCGTAGTGCATCTATCCTTAGAACTTTTGACCTTCCGGGGTGCTTCCTCAATCCAACAGACTCTGAAAGGCTGTTTAAAATTGCGATCTTTCCTCGCATCTGTTCCTGAGTGTGTGACAGAAGCGCCAAGTCATCTGCAAAATCCAGGTCGTCCAACTGTGTGCATGGGGTCCACTGTATGCCATTTCTTTGTCCTCTGGTGGTTTCCTTCATCAGCCAGTCGATTGCCAAGATAACGTAATAATAACCAACATGCGTAATCCTAATGAGTTAATGGATAACACATTTTAGAAAGAAAAAAAAAGCAAACGCAAAAAAAGGAAACAAGTATCCAATAGCCTGGACATAACATGGGTCTCTTTTTCTTTCTTTTTACTAAATTTTGATGGATAATTTGGCAGGTGCCCTGCTGTGGTTTACTCCTTCTTTCCAGTCAAACACCAATCGTCCTTATCTCTCCTCCTTCTTTCTTGTGTGCGTGTGTGTGTGTTTGTTACCCTCTTGTAACACCTCTAATCATTGGCACTTGTATGACCTAATTTTATTGTTACAAGTGCCGTAACACTCTTACTAGATCAAAACACATTTACTGATTTTTGGTTGTTGTTGTTTTTTTCCCACTGCCGCTTTTGTGTGACTCGCGCAGACGACCATTCGAGGAATTCCCGCGGAGACCTGGATCGGTCACCACAACGACTTTCCCCCTGGTTACAACGGTACATCTCAGTGGCAGTGGTACTTCTCTTCTGTAAGTTATATGTGTGTGTGTGTGTGTGTATGTGTGTGTGTGTGTATGTGTGTGTGTGTGTGTGTGTGTG